GCCCCTTTCCCCCTCCGGCTCATGCACCTCGGTACAGCTGCACACGCCCTCCAGCCCGGACGGCGCATGGAAATTGTCACAACTGGACTTCCGCCTCCTCTTACGAGCTTCCAGTGGTGAGCACCAGCAGCCTCCGCAACGGGGGGGACCAGCCATTCCTCACGTCTGGCTAGACACGCCTGCCTTGCGCAGGATGCTACCCGAGGCGGGCTCGGAGTGTCTTTGAAGGAAGATGTGCCTTCAGCTACCGAGTGCATTACAGGTGCCCTGATATTCCCCATCAGACAGGTGCACGCTTGCTTCCCCGGAGGCACGCACCTTGCAGGAGTGACTCAGCCACGCAAGCCTCCGCTAGACGGACGACTCCCCGGGTTTCTCTTAAGGTGGCAGCACGCACGGCTGTCAGCTGCATTTGAAACAGTGTTCAGAAAGCCAACAGCCGCTGCGTATCTATGCGCTCCCCTTGGCCTCTCCAGTAGCCAGATGGACGCCGTTCAGGGCGTATGGTATCTGTTCATTCCTGTGCTACTCTGGCTGGTCACACTAGCTAACTGGGCTCCTCTCCCCATTCCAGGAGAGCAGCCTGCTCCCTACAGAGCTGATCCAGCAGCTACTAATGCTTCAGGAATTCCAACCCCAGACCCCCATAGAGTCACTGTGCCGCGATTACAGGAAAGCAGCTTGCTTCACTCCCATCTCTAGTCCACGGGAAACAGGCTCCTGGCGGAGATTTACAAGCCGGCTTAGCAGGCAGGGCTCTTGCTCATCGCATGATCCGCTGGGGCAGCCAACAGAGAATGAATCCATCGGGCTGTCTCCCTTCCACCATCCCCCAGGAGGTGGCATGGTTAACGAGCCTTCTAATCAAAGGGAGATGGTGCAAGAAAGATTAGGGCATTGGGGGGCAGGGGGGAAGAAGATGCAGAGTTGCACAAACCTTGCTCAACGTGCTCTCCTGAACAAGTAACCAGCCTGCAAAGGCTAAAACAGTTACTTATTTCAGGCCTTGAAAAGCACCTTCCGCTGGGCGAGAGTCGCTCACAGCTCCTCACAGCCCCAGGAGGGACAGCGCTTACGGCAGAACCAGGCTAAGAACACAGAATCCTGCTGCCATCCAGCACGGAGGCTGGAATTGCCTCCAGCCCCAGGAGGGACAGCGCTTACGGCATCCTGCTGCCATCCAGCTAGGAGGCTGGAATTGCCTCGACTTTCAGACTTCCCATTCCAGGCTAAGGTTTCAATCTCAGGTCCATTAGCAACACAAAGCGCAGATGCTCAGCAGGCCCTGGGAGGAAGCTATGAGGCAGGCTTAATTACAGCCCAGCCCTTCCCAGTTTCAGCTGTCTGTTTCCTCAACTGAGGCTGACCAGCCAAGGCAGAGCGCAGCTCCAGCTCCCTTTGCCATGCCAGACAGCTCTCCTGAGGCCCAGCGCCGGCCAGCTGCCCCATCCATCATGTCCGATTCTTCCCAGTCCCGCTCCCCCGCCCTGGTTTCTTGAGTTGGAAACAGGTCCCAGAGTAACAAAGCAAACCCCCCAACCTTCCCCAGCGCTAACAGGGCCACAGGCCTCTCTGCACGGGGTGTCCAGGTGCCAGCAGAAGCCTGGAGGGGGAAAGGATGGAGTTGCCCACATGCCAGGAGGGCACTAAGCAATGCAACAGTGCAGAACCCACACAAACACCATGACCGCCCCCAAGAGGACTCCCTTTAAACCTAAGCAATAACAGGGGGTGGGATGTGGCACTAACACACCACAATAGGTCTTCACATACCCGTCCTACCTCCTGGGACGCAGAAAGGAAAGGAGTGTGGCGCTTCAATGAGGCCAGGGCATGGCTCCGGCTGGGGGGACCCTCTTGCAAGTATGTAGACAAATGCAGAAGGGAATCAGCCCAGGCATCGGAGCACGCGGATGCAGAGGGGCAAGTGTAACACCCAGGACAGGGCACCAGCACACAGGAGAGGGAGCACAGTAACCCCGGGGGAAGCAGGGTGCAGACCCCAACGCTAACACGGGCAGTGGAAGACCAATAAGTACAGTACGACCGCAGCCTCGTTCCCTGGCACACAGGGGAGCCCCAGGAAAAGGGGAGTGCCTGGACACAGGA